ATCTAAAGTAATAGTTTTATGAGTAACATTTTTAAAAGACAATAAACAACCATCTATGAATTCTACATGTATGAACTTAGTTTTCTTGATTAAAAATATTTCATATTTTTAAAAAAGTTTTTATCTATAAAATAAGCTAAAGCTTTTGAATCTAACTAGGTAGAAATTTTGTAATTTTTTGATTCTTAATGTAGCCATAGATACTTCTAAAACTGAATCTAAATCATAAAAAAATTGTGAAATTTTTTCTATCAAAGATACAAATCAAAAGAAATCATTTATAGATAAAAATATAATTATAAATCTAACTTGAATAAATCCAATAAGATATTAGAAAAGATGTAACTTTAGATAAAACTTGACTTATTATAGCAACCTTCAAAATTTTGATTTTTTTCTATCAAACTTCTTTGGCATATTGATCCTCGCTTTCTTGTACTTGTAATAGTAAGAATTTTTAAATTCAATTGTGAGATTGATCTACTTGTTTCTTTCAATTGCACAACTTTTAAGCATAGACTTTAAACTTCATTCTTGATTTCTTTTATAGATGTAGGAATAATACCTCTATCATTAACATTAAAAAGACATGACATTTCTATCCTAAGAGTATTGAAAAACTTATGATGATGTACAATAGTTGTAAATTTATTCTTACTTTAGTTGAATATAACATCCATAATTTTTTGTTCTATCTTTATAACAAAAAATTCTAATAAATCCATAAGTCAAAATAAGAGAGGATTATCTTCAACTTCTAATATCAAATAATTTTTTTTATAAATAAAGATAATTTATTCTTTTTAAGAAAAAAATTATTATTATTATTTAAAAAAATATTAGTTTAAAGATGATAAATTTTTAACTTTTAAAACATAAGAAAAAAAATTTGTATAATTTACTCACTTTTAAGATGAAACAAGAATAATAAATTAGTATTCTTGTCAAATTATTAAGCATATGAATTAAAAACAACCAAAATCTCAATAAATTCTTATGTTATTTAAAAAATATAGATATTCATTCAAAGATTGTATAATATTTAGATTGGAAAAATTATTTCTAAAGATAAGAAGACTAGAGACTCTTGAAATAAATATATGAATAAAAAAGGCATTGATAAGAGTCAAAAAAGCTTTATTCTTATATATATATATATATATATATAATCTAATTAAGAACTACATAGTGATGTTGTATAGGACCTCCAACACATGTCTAACTTGAAAGACAAGTTTCTTAAATGGAAAACCATGTAGTCAACTTATACCATAAGTTTTTAATATATGCATCATATAGTCAATTTATTGACCTAATTTTTATCCTATTAATTACCTACAAATTCATATAAAGTCAAATCTATATCTACAAAGCTTTTAAAAAGATTCTTCATAATATATTATCAAATCTATTTACTTCTACTTATATTTATCTAACTTCTTTAATCTATATATATATATATATATATATATATTCATAATATTGAGTAAGTTTAGAGACAATCATCAATGAAGAAAAAAAGCTATCTCTTTTATAGAAATGATTGGTATTGTGTAAATAAAGATTTTTATATATAATATATTAAGTGCCATAAATCAATTATAAAGTATGTAATCTAAATCAAATACAAATGCACAATCAATATACTTTCAAAGAAAGTTTATAAATTTACTTATAATTAAGTCAATTTATGTCTTGTACCACAAAAAAAGAATCTAAGAATAGAAATGTAAAGAATAGAAAAAATTCTAAAGCTTTATTAAAATGGCTAAATCACCATAGCCAAGAAAATTCTTATAACAAGTTTTTTTTTTTTTTTTTTTTTTTTTTTTTTTTTTTTTTCTCTATCTTTTTTTTAAAATCACTCATAAGACTAGACTTGATAAGAATGTCAATTCAAGAGTTTTTTTCCGCTTAGGTATTCAAACCCTTGTTGATATTAACAAAGTCAATTAACATAAAAATTTCAATGGATGAAAAACCACTAATCAAAATAAATTACATACATTCTATAGAATTTGGCATCTAATGTTATATCATATTGTCTTAATGTAACACAACTAATAAGTGAAAGAATAAAAAAATATAATATTTTAGAGGATCTTATTTCAAAATATTGTAAGAAATTAACTTAGAAATATAGATTAAAATCGAAGGGTAATAAATTAAAAGTACAAATATTACCTTTTTGCAAAGTGGGCTTCTACTTATTTTGTAGAGCCATAAATTATTCAATACAAGGTAGATTAAAAAAATAAATAATATAGACATATGTATGAGGGAGTTAGGAATTTATTTTAGCAAAAATTATGTTAAGAAGACAAAAATTGATATCTGGAGAAGACCTGTTGTCAACCTGGGTCAAAATCATACTCCAAAGCATAAAACCACACACCTATGGCAATTCCAAGGATTTTTTGTAAATTGGAGAGTGGGATTTGAGAGAAGACTTTATAAAATTTTTGAAAGCATTGATTTCAAGTGATTTGAGTTTATAATGACTTTTTAAGAGCTTTACAAAGTCAAGGTTGTTTTGGGTGACTCTAGCTTTTGTGAAATAAAATAGGATTTATAATTTGGACAATTTCATGAATTTGAATAGATCTATGGATTTTTTCTTGTAGGATTGTGTATATAGTTGTGTTAAATATATATTATAAATTTGAGCTTAATTTGATAGTTATATTGGAGGTTATTAAAGTTTAAGTGAATTAGGGACTTAGAAATTGGATTTTTAAATCTAATTAGATCATCTAAGATTTGCAACAATCTGCTAATTGGATTGATGTGATTTTTATTGGAACTAATAGTTGACTTGACTTCCAAAACTTATGCAAAATTTGAGAGTAAGTTAATGATTCAATTAGGAGTTATTATTTAGGAGTTATTATTACTAGAATGTCAACATTAAAATCAAAGATAGAAGTCAACTGATACTTGAGTGGATTATGACATTTTTTTTTTCCATTTTGTAAGTTTGATTCTCTTTTAATTTATTATACTTATTTTTAACTAAGAAAATAAGAAATTTATAAATTTAAATAAGATCAAAAATTTAATCAATAGATATAAAGCTTCTAAAATTATCCTATGATTGATTTGAATTGATTAGATTTTGATTAGGATTTGTTTAGAAATTTATTAGGATTTGGTTTACAATTTAGAATTTGGTTAGGATTGGATTTAGGATTTAGGATTTAATTAGGATTGGATTAGAATTTAGGATTTTTTTAAGGATTTTTTAAAGATTTTTTAAAGGTTTTTATGGATTTTTTTAGAATTTTTTGAAGGTTCTTTTGAATTTCACATAGATTTTTTAAAGATTCTTTAGGATTTTTGTAAGGTTTCTTTGAATTTTTTTTGGGGGTTTTTTTAGGATTTTTTTATTACTTCTTTATGATTTCTTTAGATGTTCTTTAGGATTTTTTTGTATTTTTTTTTTATAATTTTTATGAAAATTTGATTGGACTTAATTAATATTTTATTATATTTGTTAAGATTTAATTTTATTTTATATATGATTCTATTAGAGTTATCAGAACTTATTGCAATTTTCTTTTATCTTCCATTGTTAAGTACCCAGTGCATTCTCAAGCAAGATTTCACATAATACGACAATGTGACATTGAGATTATAATGATGGAAGAAGAAGACATGAAGTTTGAGGTAGATTACATGAAAGGCAAAAAAAATTTATAATTATTATCTTATAAATAAGGTTATAATAGCATAGAATGAGTATGAAGTTTGAAATAAATGTCATAGTGGTGGTGAGTTTTATAATTAATCATAAGTATCTATTGACAAGATTATAAAAAATGATCATGAAAAAGTGATAAAATTATAATTATGTCGTAAATTGAAGATTAGTCCATCAATAGTTTCTAAGTAAAGAACTAATTGTCTTCTATGATGAATGCTTGGACTTCTAATATACAAGGAGAATTTTCAAGGTCCCAACTACTTTATATTCTCATGTTTATAATATTCACTTCTTCATGACAAATGAAAGAGACATCTTCCAGACTATGATGCCCTAGAAATTCCCATGCTCTAATATTCATATATTCTCGTATTTTTGGAGTTCCCTTGTTCACAATCAATGAAAAGATTTCTTTGTTTTTTGATCTTATACCAAAATTATTATGTATATATGTATATATATATATATATATATATATCGTACAATGTAAAATTAGTTTTTAATAAATTAATATTTGAAAGATGTAAGCTAAATCAGTTGAAATTCTTGTAGAAAGGTGGTATGAATCTTTGGTTACTCAATTGAATACGTTGGACTTTGAAATATTAGAATCTGTTATGCAAACAAATTAGACTAGTGTATATTTTTGGGCTTTGGTACTAAGATTTAAATCTATGTTGGACCAATAGAAGACATGGACCAACTTCAATTAAAATCTCGGACCAAAAATATTGTAACTAAAGGTTCTAAGTGTTATCAATTTAGAGATGATTAGCAAGTTCAATACCTAGCTCTTGTGGTGAAGCTACTTGTGTTGTTATTAGAAACTGATTCTTTGAAAAGAATGTCAAATTTTAGAGGATTGAGGATTATAGGATCTATTATACTTCTATTGAGATTGGAGATTATAGTTGCAAGCATGAGAATTTCCACTATTGTACATAACCTTATGTTTTAATAGCCTTACTTTTAATAGTTCATCATTATGTCTTAAATATAATTAAAATTAGAAAAAAATATCATATAAACCCCTCAAATATTTTGAAATATTAAGAATATCCCTATATTTTTGATAATAGCATATATATCCCTAGAATTGTTGATAATAGCATATATATCCTCCACCTTGATAAATAGAAATTTGAGAATTCCTTTAATGTTTTTTTCATTTGTGCCCAAATAGTAGCTTTTGTGATTTAGCCTGTCAAAAAAAAAAAAAAAAAAAAAATGATATGCACTGTCGAGCATATTGCAGAAAAAAGATGGAGAGTGCCGCAGCCACCCGACAGCGCACAACATGCGGCTCTCTCCCTGGAGCATCCCGTCTTGTGCATGCAAGAAATCATCCCGTAAACTTCGGATTTGCCGCAAAGCATTCAAGGCAGCGTACAGGGAAAAGTTGAAGTTCTGAATGGATTCTGGTACAATCATTCTTCTAAGTTTAATCAATTTCAATCTCCTTTGCAAAAGCTGGTTGAAAAGCAATCAGGATGTGACCGATGTGATGTAGTGCACTGGTGATTTTCAAACCCCCAAACACTCCAGTAGAGATTGTGTTAGACTACTATGACAACGACTATGAAATCGCCGAACCTCCGAGAGTGACGAGTTTGAAGAACACACAGCCTCTTCCTACAATTACCAATTTTGGAGAAAGTTTTCAATTTGTTCATGAGTCCCGCAGATTTAAATCCATAGTCCATCATTTGGCTAAAGCGTACCTTGCGAGCGATAATGAGACAATCACCGATCCACGCCTCAAGTTAAATAAGGTATGCTTGCGACAATTGTATTCTGCAATGCGATGCGTGTCGTTGCGGCTCCACTGGAGGATTTATTAAGTTGTGGGGTCATCTTCCAATGCTTTAGGTTGTTTGCGAGGTGGAGTATACCAAAAAAGGAGTAAAAGTGACGACGGAAAACGGTGAAGTGTACACTTCCGATTATGTCATTGTGTCTGTTAGCCTGGGCGTGCTCCAGAGCAAACTGATTGATTTCGTGCCTGATTTTCCGTTTTGGAAGCTCAAAGCTATCTACACATCCAACATAGCAGTGTACACCAAGATATTTTAAAAATTCTCCAACACATTCTGGAACACCAGTCCTTGGACGAAGTTTTGGATGTATGCGGATGAGCGCCGAGGCTATTTATTACCCGATCTGGCAGGTACTGGATCATTCACTTCATCTTCATCTAGTGAAAGAGCTAGCGTTTAAGTGTCTTCATATTTAAAGCAATTAACCTAGATCCGAAAATCTCTGGTTTTTTGTTGTGTGAGTGCAGAACTTGGACAACGAATTTCCAGGGAAGAATATTCTCATGGTGACTGTTGCAGACGAAGAGACCCGCCGCATTGAGCAACAGGAGGACAGTGAAACACTACACGAGATCATTGTTGTGCTGCGCAACATGTTCGGGTCCAAGGTCCCTGAAGCCGAGAGCATCTACCTGCCAAGATGGTTGGCTGATCCCTTCTTCAAAGACACCTTCTCCAACTGGTCCATCAGGGTGGAATCCAACATCTTCAAGCAACTTCAAGTAAGCCATTACCGTTCAAGGAACCTTTGAACTAAAGGAAGCGGTACATGAATGACAAATTGTGCTTGGTTTACTCAACAAGCGCCGGTGCAGTTCGCAACATGACCTCCTCCAGCGACCGCACGGAGATCTGAAGTGTGGGCTTGAATTGTTGAAAAAATAAGCCGCTGAGGTTTTTGAGGAAGACGCATAACCTCCGCTATTTTACTTTCAGAATCTCGGCTCGGGGTTACAACACCTTGAAGGGAAAATTCATGCGAACAGGTCAAAGTACTGACAAGATTTTACATCCGCTGCCAAGTAGTAAGTTGCTTCCTACTTCATGATTGAGGAGTCAAAGCCCTCTCCCTGTGCAGATTGTTGCAGCAACCTGGATTTGGCTGCTGTATGGTCGGACTCTTTCTCCGAGATGTTCTCTAAGCCCAGTGAATCAATAGAGTCCACGAATTTTTTGCGTCTTGAACAAACCAAGAGCCAAATGAGAAAAACCATATTTCTCTAGCACCTGGTTATCTGGGAAATTGAAGGCACGCTCCATCTGTTTGAAACATTTGTCATTCTCCACATTAGCTCCTAATTTGTAAGGTTTGCACTCCACGAAGTGTGTCACAAAAGGCCATATCTCATCTCCGTACCCTGGGTGGTCCTTGGCCATCAGTTTCGCACAAGTAAATGTAAGATGCGTGACATCGAAGATGCTGCGGAGGAGAGAGCCACCGGAGGTGGCGGTGGACAGGATGCTGCGGGGAGAGAGCCGCATGCTACGCACTCTCAAGCAGCTGCGACATTAACTTTCTAACAATCTGCCTACAAATGCACATAACGAGGGACCTTTTTTCTGACACACTAAATCACAAAAACCACTATTTGGGCCCAAATGAAGACAAAAACATTAATGAGATTGTCAGATTTCTAACACCTTATCAACGTGGAGGTTATGTGTGCTATATCAACAATTCTAGGGAGGGTCCGTGTGCTATTGTAAACAATTCTAAGGATATATAAACTATTATCAAGAATATAAGGTATTCTTGATATTTCGACATATTTGAGGGCTATATATAATATTTTCCCTTAAAATTACCAGAAACTTAGACCTGCAAGATGCCCAGCTGCGACTCCAAGTGGGAACGTCCAGGATAGCTAAAGCTGAATACTAACCTATGCACAAGTCTCATCTTGCTCTCCACAATTAATACAACATCCGAAGTAGAACCAAATCAAGTGGCCGCAACGTCGTTGAAGAGCAAGCGCAACACACTTTGTCATCGTTTGGATGAATTGCACAGGAAAGGCAGCAACACGATATCAGCTCCGATAAATTCAATTGATTCTGCAAGCACCTGTACAGGCATTTTTTGAATAAACCAACTCTTAAATCTCGATTTGTTGAGGTTTGAATCCTACAAAAACTTTCTTGGCTCATTGTCAGTGAAACCCCCAAACCTAGATGATAGTTCTGCCTTGAAATTCTTGGGGTCCAAGTTTACGGATTTCCTTCCCGCTGCTAAATCTTTCTCTCGATCCCACGGTTTCCAAGGGTGATTCTGCTTCCATTCTGGCTCTTTTTCACTTTCTCTCCGAGATACGACCCCTACTTTATCAGTCTTCTTGCTTTTCTTCTTGCTACCTGCTGACCTCTCAGCCTTGTGCTTCTCCACAAGCGATATAGACCTTTTGTTTGAGTTATATGAGTCCATAAGTTGTGCCTCCTTTGCTGCTCTCTCTTTCTCGCGTTCTTCAAGCTCGTCAGTGGGACCATTTGTGAGAGCAGCTTGCTTATATGCTTCCAAATACCTGAGTTCAATCCAAGGTCACATAAGCATTTTAATCCATGAACAAGACAATGAAAGAAACATATTGCCTGAAACGCTAAGCAGTAAATTCAAGACAAAATCTAATTGAAGAAAGTATCTATAAGATCCTAATATTGTATAACAGTCTTTTCCAAAGGAATTGACTACCTTTATAAAGTGATCCATTTTTGAGAAGTCGAGAGAAAGATTAGTTGCAAACGAAGAGGGAAAAAAATAAAACTTACTGCATTTTTGCCTTCAGAGCTTTGTCCGCTGGCGTATCAGTCCAAGCGCTTGTGTCTCCACGGCCACTTTTTTCAGATTTGCTGAAGAAGGTATTATGCTGAGCAGGAGGTCCACCAGCCTGTGCACGTAGTCCCAAAGCAATGAGAAAGCATGACTTCTGACTGCTAAAACTTAATGCAGCAAGCACGGAAATAACTAGATAAGTCCTCTCTGCAACATCCAGGAATAATAGGTAATGCAAACCTGTCTCTCAGGTGGAAGTTTTGTCATCCATTCATCTCTGGCCACCTCCTGAGGACCTCTCAGCAGCTCGTCATCACCCTCTTCTTCCTCTCCTGTATTTTGCACGTCATCTCTCAGTTCGATTAAAAAATAAAAATAAAAATAACAGAACTACACAGAGTAGTATACTTTCCCGAAATCGAACACATTTTCATAAAAAAATCAAAACAAGGCCTCTTAATGTCAGAGGAGGCTGATATATTGAAAGGCATAGTAAAGTAGATGTCTATGTTTACCTCGAAGACGTCTCCATTGAGCAGCCTCACGTTTTGCCTGCAGTTCAGCCTATGGAAGGACATTTCAATCGGTTAGACTCATCCAATTAATGAGGGAATAATTTAATGCAAAGCACAAATACGAAAAATTAGGTTCTCTCAAATTATGAACCAAGAATTTGGTGCTTACCGCAAATTCTTCGCGAGCCCGTTCCTCAGCAACTTTGCGGTCAATCTCAGCTTTCTGAATAATCATTAAGCGCTTGATGTAAGACAATACTTTTGGCGAAGAATTTCATCCATCACATCAGATTTTCCACCACAATCCAAGTATATTGCCCCTCACATTTCGGAAATAGACAGCTGATGCTTCGCAATCACTAACCTTTGTGGGATCCTGAAGATCTTTAAATGCCTTGTTTAGTGCCATAAAGGCCTCGTGCGCTTGTGGATGTGGACACTTATCAGGATGTACCAGTAAAGACAATTTCCAATACCTGAACAGTTAATCACATAATACCCAGCAACTAAGGAGATACAAACATGTCATGCAACGTTGCATCAATCAATAACGAGATTCAGACAAATCAAAACAAATTAAAAAAAACAAAAACACAAAGCTATATCGCATACCAAAAAGTTTTGGGTTCAACTAGCGGTTTCGAAGGATCAAATTCAATTTCAACCGCAAAAGACTCACTTTTTCTTCAGAACAGTGGGTTCAACATCTGCCTTTACGCCCAATACATCGTATGCGTTTTTCACTTCACGAGAAAGCATTCTGGATACCTGCAAAGTCAGCACGCTGATCAGAATCTCGCAAAAAGCATTGAGCAGCACTACAAATGACAATACCTAACCACGGTGATCTGGGAACAGAGATGAATAGTGAAAAACGGGTAGAGTCTATTAGCAAACAGGGCAATAGCTTCAACAGAAAGAAACAGTATACATTACGAAATCTATTCAACAAATTAATCGTTTGCATAATAGTCAGGTGTGAAATTGAACCAACGAATATTGAAGAGTTTGGCGCTTTTGTCAAGGGACAAGAATCAAGAGTACTTGGAGAGTCACTTCATAACAATACCTCTTCGAATCGCTCAGCTTCATTGGCAGAAGCAGCCTCTGCCACCACTGTTGGAGGAGCAGGTCCAATCAATGGATCATTCTCTAGTTCCAACTCTGCCTCCCTGAAAAATGTGATCACAAAGACATATCTGACTGCATACGAATATGAAGAAAATACTGACGTGAACAGAATGGTGAGATTATTGAGAAGGATCGAAAATGAGAACACGGACATTTGGAAGGAAATAAAATGCCTTCGACAAAAATGGGCCTTACTCGTATCAGTCACAATTTATATAGCGTAATGTACTCGACCAAATAAGAACTGTTTACCAGATGGCACCGTCATACCTGAGACGAGCCTCAGCTTCTGTAAGTCGTGCAGCGGCTGCTAACGTTTCAGCTGAAGGCATCGCTGGACCCATGACCCTGTCCCTCAGAAACATCAGTAATAGAAACGCAAAAACAAACCATAAAGTCAGTATTTCAAGGTCACCTGTGACCGAAAGCATTAGTACGTCGCCACATTTGTTAAGAATTTGCAATGACAAGTTAGACGGAAGCGATTACCTAAATTGACAGCTTACCTGCGCTTTACTTCCACAGGACCTGGCCCATTATCTAGAGTGGCAGGGGTCTCCAAATCTGCTCTTGTTTCTGCAGGCGTAGCAGGAGTTGCTGCGGAGAGTTCTTTGAAAATTGGGGCCAAACGTTCCATCGTTGGTTCTGCGTCTTTGGGTATTAAATAAGTCCCTTGCGAGAAAGTTAGGTTCAATGCTGAAAACAGCTTCTTGAGGAGTAAAACAAGTCCTTTGTTTGGCAATCCACTGATGTCAACGGCTTGGCCACTATCCATCATCTCCATTAGCTGCAGCAAGGCAAAAGAAAAAAAATTGGATATAAGTCGAAAATGCTCGTCGTGTACTTACACATTGTAATGCAAGTCAAGAATGGCTCAGTAACTACTCACAGATGATGCCAGAGACTACCACCGTGAAGTTGAGATGAATATTTATCGTTACGGTTGAAAATGAAATCGTACACTGCGACTCTTGTTAATGTTTCATGTATGAGCTGAACATCCCTGTGGGTGGTTGCGAAGAACAATAGTGCATCTGAACCCATAAAAATTGTTGACTAGGGAATTCAGTCAGGATCTCCTGCCCGGGATTATACCTGACCAAGATCCTTTGCTTCAACTGGAAAATTTGTGTAGATCTCCTTTACAATGTCCTCTGGTTTCGACGCAACATCAACATCTGAATCTGAAGACACGTCCCTTGCATTATCCTTGTTGCGTCTTCGCTCCTTATCCTTCCTTCTCTCCTTCCTAAGCTTCTTCCGTTCTTTGCGATCTTTTTCTCGCTTTCTATCCTTCCTTGAGGAGCTCCTCCCTCTGCTATCTTGAGATAAATCACTGACGTCGCTTTCATACTTCGTCTTCTTCTTCTTCTGCCGTTTTTTATCTTTCCTAGAGGAACTCCTTCCCCTGGTATCTCTGCTATCCCTGCTATCGAGGGACTCATCACTTGAGTCACTCTCGTACTTCTTCTTGCGACGCTCTTCATCTTTCCTTGAGGAACTCCGCTTCCTATCCATATAATCATCACTCAAATCACTTGAATACTTCTCCTTGCGCCCCTTTCCATCTTTTCTAGAAGACCGGCTATCTTGATTTTCCATGCTGACTCAACAAAAAAAACAAAAAAACGAAGGAAGCCTGGGCGCAGTGTTTTAAACTCTCGGCACATAAACCCTAATGGCATCGGTCAAGTTCGTCGTGGACGGGCACCTCATGACAGCATCGAACCAGCGAGGCCTGGCAATAATTCCGCCCTTCATCAGCTTCCGCGTCTTCGAGAGCAAGTCTCCCTTCATGAACGACATGGCGTCCCCTAGGATGGCAATGATCCTCACAACTTGCTGTGAACACCTCGCGCACTTCTTCCATCAACTGCTCTTCATCCTCTGCGGAAGAAATGCTCGTGACCACCCCAAACGAAACCTCCGCAAAAACCTAGAGACAGTGAGCCTGTTTCTGAGCCAAAGAATGAGAAATGTTCATCCTGGGTAGAGTAGCGTGTCAGCTCAATTGGTTGATAGAAATTGAAAACCTCCTCCCTGTATTTTTGTCTTACTTCATACCTAACTTCTTTTAAAAAATATGTTGTGGTTTGATATTTGCTAAAATCATTATTACTGTTAAATGTGATGAAAGGTGAAGGTCTGTGGTGCTTTGTAGGTGTTGATACCTACATTTTGACATTTGCGTCTGTTACTCAAAATTATTTTGAACCCATTCTGCTCACAGAGAAAAGAAAGAAGAAAATCCAATTCAAGTTTTGTTCTATTTTGATTTTGATTTTTGATTTTCTGTTTTGAATTTACAAGAAGAGGTCTATTTCTTCAAAAATAATTCTGGTCAAGGAGCTAATTAAATAGACTAAATATATATATATATATATAAACACAAACACACACACTAGCAGAAACTTTTGCTGTTGGGCATTGCAATCGTTAGCACATCCATCCATTTCTTTCTTCATGGCTTCCATGTTCTCTAGTTCCAATGTTCTATAGTTTTCTTGTTCCTATGTTCCATGGTTTCTTTGTTTCATATCGTATGTGAAAAAGGTTGATGTGTATACTATTAAAATTTAGAAAATATTAATAGGATTGGCTTTTCCAATCTTCGATAGTGACCTTATCTTCAACAAGATCTTTCTTTAGATATAATGTAGAGCTTATCATTGTCAAGAGAGCTCATGCTTCTTATGTCATGTAATTGTTAATTACCACATAATTTTCTTCAATAATTATTATACATACTTATTTGCAAGATGAACAATAAAAATGATTAACTCGTAGGTATAACTACAAAAATACTAATAAAACAAAAATTACATTATACTTAGAACAATCCATAGGTTCTTTCGTTCTTGTAATTCCAAACTTTGATAGTAAATTCTAAAGTCTCCAACTAAAGTAATGTTGAGAAATGCCATTGATTTCTTAGGTGAGAATCTCTTGAATTTTTTTTTTTTTTTTTTTTTTTTTTTGACAAAATTAGTACAACTTTGCCTTTCAACACTATGTAATATAGAAATGTATGTGCCTATACTATCACTAATTAATTCATAATTATATCAAATAATGTTTGAATTGGCTATAAGTAGTAATAAGAGTTTAAGAGTATATTATTAAATTATTAAGAGTTGTATAATAAGAAGTTGTTATTATTGATAGAATTAAGATCTATAGATTTAGTAATTTATTCTTAGTAAGATGTTAGTTGGTCCCAAAAACTATAAGGCTTGGAAGAATACTATGTGAAGTATATTTAAGAAAGAAGATATGTAGAACATATTCAACCTCAAAATTGATAGCAGCTCAAACTTAGAAGTTGGTCAACTTTAGAAATTACTCAATTTTTAGAGTTTAAAAAAATTATTGAAAGTAATAAAAAAGAACCAACTTCAAATTTTAGTTCTAAATTTTTTAAAGCTTTCTTTCGAAGATAAGATTAAGCTTATAAGAAAGAAGACAAAAGCTATGGAATATTTCAAATTTTTATTAGAAAATTACTTTTGAGATTGATTTTTTCTAAAGCTTAGATGATTCTTTCATATCTTTATTCAACTATGATCATTCCTAGTGTGATAAAAATCCTAGATAGATATAAAATTTAAAAATATTAATAGAGTTATTTGTAATAACATACATATAGAATGTTTGTAAGTTTAATAATGATTTAAGAGAGATGAACAAACTTCTTTGTGATCTTGTCATTATTTGTAAAGTTCTTCCTTCAAAATTTAAGAAATTAGTATCCATCATTAAACATGAGTATAAACCACTAATATTTTTTACTTTGACAAGTAGAATAAAATTAAACAAAAGTTATAATAAGATCTATTTAATGAAGCATTGATATTTTGGATTTAAAATAAAAATTGTAGATGTTAGTATCAAAGAAATGAACTGAAAGAAGATGCATAAATTTATGAAATCCATGTCAAAAGAAAAGTGACAAAATAGAAATAAAGAAGTATATATATTATAAGAAAATTGGAATGTCTATTGCCAAAAGATAAAGAAACTAGAAACTCTTGAATGTAGATTGGAAGCAAGAAAAGACTTGATAAGAGTAAATAAGGCTTCACTTTTGCCTCTATATATACTATCTATCTAGGATCTATGTGACAACATTCTATAGGACCTCCAAAAATATGTTGACTTTGTATGATATGTATCTTGACTTGCAAGGTAAGTTTTTTATATAAACGCCACATAGTTAGCTTATTCTGTAAGCTACTAATACATGTGGCATGTGGTTAGTTTGTTGACCAAGTTTCTAACCTACCAATCAACTATAAATACATATAAAGTCAAAATAGTATCTAAAAAGCTTCTAGGAAGCTTCTCTAGAAGATATTATGAAATTAATCTATTTTTACTTACTTCTACCTATCATATTATTTAAATAATAGTTATAGTAGATATATATTTGTGACATTACTTCTCTTTCTAAAAACAAGTTCCTCGAGGAGCGATGATCACATGTTGAAGAAGTCTAAGATGTGGCAAATTGTATTTGCTACATATTTTAATCTTTTTTTCCTTTGAAGATAGTCGATAGGTTCTCTCAGCCATTGGTAATGTCCCATTCTAAGGTGAGAAGACCACAGTGTTTTTTGATTATTGTTGAAACCTTCATAACTTTTTTCAAACAAAATATTTGTAATACTATTAAGATTTGTGCCTACCTCCAAGAAAATCACCAAACATGAAGAGTCTTTTTTTAGGTCATGATATCAAATACATTATATCTTGCCATCTATTCAAGAAAGAATATGTTGTTCTTAAAGGTCTTCATGCCTATTACGTTGTCTTGAAGGTTGTGATAATCACAATGTCTTGACTGGTAAGTCATCAAATGATGGTCTTGAATTGAATCTATTGACTATTACTTTTCTATCTCTTTAATGCCACAATTATACATAAACTATAAATAAAGATAAAAAATAGAATGCAATCTTTCCTAAATTATGTTCTTTTTTTAGCAAAGATTTATTATCTTTGATCCTAGTTTTGATAGATGTTGTTGTTGAAAAGCTTTGACCTTTTGTATTGCATTTATAAGATTTTTTAGTGGCTTCTATGCACATTTATTAATATCATATCCTTGCCAATGGACAAGATATTCTAACTTATTTTGGCACCACCTTGAGTCTAGAACTTCTTCTACTTCAAATTCTTTATTGTTGTCTACTTTTATAAGAGGAGGTAGGACTTATCTTTTTCTTTGTATGTTCACAATCTTGTATGGTTTAAGAAGAGACATGTGGAATACAAGATGGATCTTCATTGACTTTGGTAGATATAATTGATAAGCAACTGGATTGATTTGTCCACAAATAGGAAAAGGTCCAAGCTTGCAATAGTCCAATTTATCACAAAGATGAATAGTCTTGATATTACGATGAAGTAACCATACCTTGTCACCTACATTGAATTATGGTTGTTTTTTTGATAGGCATCCGCATTGATCTTTTGTCGTTTTTGAGCTTCTTTTAATTGTGCCTTTATTGTTGTATATAGTTTTGACAAATAATTTGCTAAATCTTCTGCCATAGGATTATCAACTTTTGAAAAGTCAAAAGTATTAAATTTTAGATGATAATCATAATTGGAAAGGAAAGGTGTTTGTTGCATAGAAGAATGCATTATATTATTATAAGCAAATTCTACCAATAGGAAGAAGGTTGTCCAATTGTCTTATTCATAATTAATGGTACATCTTAAATATTGCTCTAAAACTTAGTTTATGTACTCTGTTTGTCTATCAATTTAAGCTTGAAGGGTCAAAAATAGCTTTATGTCTACCTTTAGAATCTTAAAAAGAATTCTTCAAAATCTTGATACAAATTGAGTCTTCTTATCCAATATAATATCTTTTGGCAATCTATGATATTCATAAATATTATGAAAGAAAAGTTTGGCAGTTTCTTCACCTGAGATAGATTTTGTATATGGTACAAAATGTGCCATTTTGATAAAACAATCTACTATCACAAATATAAAATCACATGAATCTGAGATTGAAAAATCCATAATAAAATCCATAGAAAAAAAAGACCATGGTTGTTTTAGAATAGATAATGAGTAAAGAAGTCCATAAAATTAATCATGATAAGTTTTTGACCTTGAACAAATGTCATATGATTGAACAAAGTCTTTTATAACCTTTCACATTTGTAGCCACAAAAGATCTCTAAATATTAGCTCCAAAGTCTTGTTGTATCCAAAATGTCATATTGCTAGAAAGTTGTGACATGCTTGAAAAATACGTAAATGTACTTTTTCTTCTAAAATATATAGGCATCCTTTGAAATAAAGTAGGTTGTTCTTGAATTGAAACTTGGAAGTATTATAAGACTTAGAAGAAGTATTCTTGATATTATGAACAAGAGGATCAAAAGACATATTTGATTGAATTTGATTGAAAAAAATTGAAACAATAGTCAATATTGATTTCATTGCTCAAAGATGAAATTATCTTGGCTTCAATAAAATGATCTTTTCTTGATCAAAAGTTGCATTTTTTACTTTTGATATAAAATAAAAACATCTAAAAAATACATTAGACAAACCTTATTATTTTTATAGCTAATAAGTGATATTAAATTCAAATCTTAATAAAAACATATTCTAACAAGCCTAGCAATGATTCAAAATGCATACTAACATGAAATACTCAACTTGAAATAAGTGCTAATATGAAATACTTGAATAGTGTAGAATACACACTTTTTTTTAACTTTACATATATTTCTGCATCTCTAAGTTTTTGTAACACATGACAAACATGAACTTCATATTATTTTGTATTTTTAAAATAGATTAAAATATTATCTAAATAATAGACAACAAAATCATCTAAAAATTCACAAAAATATCATTCATAAGATATTGAAAAGCAATTGGTGCATTTGTGAGTCCAAAAGGTATGAAATTACATTCAATGTGCCTATACCTTGTTTGAAATATAGTC